TTTATTTTAATAATCACAAAACATCAATTAAAAATAAATAAAATCATCAAAATGTTTGAATGATATAATAAATTGTTTAATATCTAAGTACGCGGTGGTAGACAATAAAATATGTTAAAACTAATCCTGATACACTAGATACGCAAGCAGTAGGTAAATATTATTATTTAATACTGCTATACTGTATCTAAACTGAATTGTAATAATAATTTCATAAAATGAAAACTTACTTTTATGATATCATGCAGAAATTGTTGAAAAAATACTCTAAGGGGAAAAGCGGACTGCAGTCAAATACTCAAATGTCGAACATATAATACTAGATAATCAAATAAATATTTTAAGAATATAGCTCTTGCCGCTTCTATAATACGGTCATACGACAATACGCGGAAAGCTTTTCCAAACAAAGAACAGAAAAACAATAACTATAAAGATAATAAATATTTATAATTATAATTATGGTTAGGTTACTCATTACTCTTACAGTCCTCGAGTATCGTCAAAATATTACTCCTTTGTCGTATCGATAACGATTTACTTTGTACTATAACTAAATTTAGATATCATTTTCCAAATAATTAATGATGGAAATAATATTAATATTAATATATTATACATGTGCAGTATAGTACAACAAATGTATAGATTTATAATTTGTTAATATAAAATGTCAATGTGTTTCACGGTATTAAGATGATATTAAAAATCGCGGGGCTCGTTAGAAACTAGAAAGCGAGGGGCACTGAACATATGTCCCATTTGTCCTCCCATAGAGCCGGCACTTATCATTGAGTATACGTACCTATATTGTACAACAATATATTATACTCAATGTTATCATTAATATTATTTTTCAAGACAAAACTTTTGGGACTGGACTCGAATTAGTACGTCACTAGTACCCCCCCCCCACGTACGATATGCCAATAACTTTTGAAGGAGTAGAGCACTAACGACCGGATGAATAACACACTGAAGGACTAACGAAGCATAAACGAATAAAAGATTTTTGGACCCAAAATTCGAAATCTAAATTAGCATGTCCTTAGAACCCCCTGTAGGAAATTCAAATACAATTTAAAGGATGGAGCACTAACGACGGGATAAGAAGCACTAACGTGCACTAACGAAGCACAAACGAATGAAATTTGTTTGGGACCGAAATTCGAAATGGGGGGTGCAGGCATGTCCCCAGCACCCCCCTGTACGAAATGCGAATAACTTTGGATCGGATAAAGCACTAACGACGGGATAAAAAGCACTAACGTGCACTAACGAAGCACAAACGACCGCCCTGGGTTTGGGCCCGAAATTCGAAATGGGGGGTGCAGGCATGTCCCCGGCACCCCCCTGTACGAAATGCGAATAACTTTGGAATGGATAAAGCACTAACGACGGGATAAAAAGCACTGCGCGTGCCAGAAGTGGCACGTTGACCAAATTTCAGTGGCACGCAAATATTATTCATCTTAAAAAAAAATATTATATTTTAAAACTTTAGTATGAGAAATTTTAAGAATCAAATTTATTATAAAATAAATATTAAATAATATTTATGATTTTTGTACTCTTATTGCTACGATAGAAGTACAAAGTACCCAACATTCGATTACGAAGTTTATTTTAAACTTACCGATACCGCGACCGGTTGCGATAACAACAATTGCACATTTGTCAGCCGTTCAAGGTTCAATTGAACTTATAATTTAGTTACCCGTCGGCCGTCGTCAACTATCGTGATTATTGATAATTAAATAAATACAGGAAATGTTATTAATATGTCATTTTCAAAAAAAATGAAATGTTCTGAAGAATCAAGTATAGTATAGTCCGTTCTCCGTAGTCCATACCTCTGTACCCACCCAGTGACTTGTGTAATAATTTCATATCGGAATTAAGAGTTTAGTTATTTCATTATTTGTATGCTATATATTTCCCAGTTTTATTGCGCATATTTCCAAACGGATATAGATCTCACATTCCCACGATAGATGGACTGATTAAATTTTAATATCTCATACCGATATCTAGACTACAATCACATATACGATATACCTACATTGCACATCGACCGAATCATTATACATTATATAATATTATATTGGGTTATTACATATTGAGTAGGTAGCATTTGAGTTGGTTCTTTTTTTCTCGTGTACCAATTACCAATATAGTTTCTACATTACTATTCGGAAAGCTTATAATTAATTTGTGAGGTGAAATACTGAAATACGTTGCGATAATAACGGCTAGGACCATATTATTTACAATTATTTCTTATTTTATATTATAATTTTATTATTTATAAATACTGTTGTATGCAGGATGCCAATTTCCCAGAACGCCCTATGTCGTGACCGAATCGCCCTCATTAATTTGATACGACCGTGATCGATAACGATATTCCCGAGTTCCTACACCACTACAATATATACCTACATTGTAATCAGGGCTTGCAAACGTTATAATAACTTTATATTTAACCAAAAAACAATTGAAACTTATAAGTGCAATTATAATGGAAAGTGATAATCAAAAATATTTAAATACTGCAAGACAAAACATAACGATTAACAAAATTTATTATAAATCATTAAATAATACATAACGCAAAACAATATAGCAAATTATTCTGAGTTAAGAATTCATAAAAATTTTTCTTTTTAAATCTATCTGTTTTGCCAAAAAGTGTAAACATTTAATACAAGGCTCCTGATATATTATTACAATATCAGTTAAAAAATATTAAAAATACATTGACACATTTTTTTTTTATAAGCATTTAAAGATCGAATTTTGAAAACATTTATCAAATTTAAAATTGAATAATTATTTTGTAGTTAAAAATGTATAAAATATTTAATTTTTTATCTAAGAATTGAAATTTTAAAACAAGATTCCACGTAAGTAGTTAATTCTGTAAACCAAAATATCTAAAAAATGCATATTCAAATTTTATTTTTATAGTCATTTTAAGTTCAAATTTGGACGAAATTACATATTAAAAAACCTAGAAAAACTATTTTAGTTATTTTGTTGTTATTGTAGGTATAATATTATTCCTATGGGTACTTGAAATTTCTAAAGTATACTAGTAACCCACTTGTAACCTACTGTACAGCAGTGAACATTTTTTTAAATTGAATAGGTATTAACACTATTGTAATATTCTTGGATGCTTGGTACCTACTATCGTAGTACTGACAGTAGATAAGTGGCAACCAAGTTATTATAATTGCAGGTCGCAGACACTTTATTTGATGTTGTAGTCGTGGTAGATAATGAATGATAAGACAGATGTAATATATTGTGAATTTTTATTATAATGTTCGATAATTTTCTAAGTCCAAATAATATTCTACAGAGTGGCGTGAAGGTGCTTGCACTAATGGGTGGTAGTACACGTCTGAATACAGGCCGATTCGGGCTCCCTTATATATGAGGTTCCCCGTACCCCTTGCCTACATATGCGATATCTCCGTTCTCACGGATGTCACTCGTATAGTCATCATTCTAGCCCACGCATTTGACGATTGAATATTTTATCTGATTGAATGTATTACTAACTTATGATCAGTCATTTTACTTTTTAATATTTAAATTCATCGTATGTGTCCAATTTTCTTGTCAAATATGACAACCGCTTATTTTGATCCTATTGTACTTAATACCCGGTTATTCCGACCTATTATATATTATGATGACTTTACGCTTGTAATTTATGATTTTGGTAGTGGTTTCTGTCAAATGTTACAACGTTTATTTTTGAACCCTTATTTTTTATTACCTGCAGGTTATGCCGGTCCATTGCATAAATATTATAGTAATATTTATGCACCTGTGGAATCTGGTTTTATTGTTACTGTCAAATGTTACTACGCCTAATTCTTAATCCCGATTCATCGTATATTATAATAATAACTATGTACTTATGAAATTGGTATTACTCAGTAGTAGCTGGCTTACTACACTATTTTAAATAGGTAACGATAAACGCAAAACTTGTATAACGTCTTACTTCTACATAACGATAAATGCAAAACTTGGATAACGTTTTAATTCTGTACAACGATAAACTTAAAACTCGGATAGCGTTTTAATTCTGAATAACAATAAACTCAAAAATTGTGTAACATTTTAATTGTAAATAACATAAATAGGAATTTTTTTTTCAAATGCAAGCCCTGATTGTAATAATAACTATAATAATATAATAATTAAGTAACTAAGTAATATTTACTATTTAGTACTATTATATCTACTGCGGTTTGTGGTACAAGTCCAGTGCCGTAAAAACAAGATGTGACACTCGAGAGTGTGAATAAACCCAGTGCTCGACTTGGGGTTAAAAATTTCAAGACCCGGGCCTCAACCACATAGGTACCAGTCTTAGAAATTCAGTAATTTAATTTACTTTTAACAATTTTAATTGAATAATTATTGAAAAGAGAAAATTACTTATGGGCAAACAACGAATTTCGTTACATAGCATAATAAGTTCCTCATAATTCAATTGTTGGTGTACTAGCTTTGATCATATTATTATTATTTTACTAATACTACGTGTTCCTCGAAAACTGAAAATATTCTTATGAATCATGATAAGAATTAGACAAAGTGGCATTCGAGTACTGTTGGGCAATTAGGTAAAAAGTAAAAACGCATTATAGTAATGTAGAAAACGTGCTTTTGCTCTTTGCGGCATCAGCGGACTGTATTGAATAATGTATAATGTATAAAAAGTATTATAAAAACGTACAGGGCACAATACATGACTAAAAGACAATAACATAACCTCACATATCTCGTTGTAACCGCACTAGGTCAATCGAACAAATTGAGAGTGATAAAGTATAATGATAAAATAACAATAGTAATAAATAATATTGATAACAGAATTAACGTTTAAACAACAAGGATTAACATTTAATTAACACCGCCCACCTTGAGCGTCAGTCTCAAAAAAAGAGAGAAAATGTTATGGTAACTAGGATTAACTAAGATTCTAGAGGTAACTTGAGAAGTTTGGTAATGGGCCTCTTGTAAGTGGAATCTGCAGTGCGGATGGTGACAACTCTCACCAGGTTGTCATGTGTGCTTGGATGTGTGGCGATGACTCTAGCCAATGTCCATTGAAGAGGTGAGGTGTTGTCGTCCTTGACAACGACAAGATCGTCCACTTGCAGGTTAGACTGTGGTGTACGCCATTTGAGGCGTTGTTGTAGAGTGTTGAGGTATTCGGAAGACCACTGTCGCCAGAATTGCTGTTGCTGCTGTTGGAGTAACTTCCAGCGGTTAAGACGGTTACAGGGTGTGGTGAGATAATCAAGACTGGGCACAGCAAGCAAAGGTTCTCCAATCAAGAAGTGTCCAGGTGTAAGTGCAGAGTAATCACTAGAGTCCATCGACATAGCACACAGTGGTCTGGAATTCAGGATCGCCTCAATCTGGCAGAACAGTGTCTCAAGTTCTTCGTGCGTGTAGACCTGATGGCCAGTGATGCGCTTCAGAATAGACTTGCAGGACTTGATGTTGGCCTCCCATATGCCACCAATATGTGGGGCAGCTGGTGGTATGAACTGCCAGGTCATCTCACGCTGTAAACAGTAACCGCTTACCTTGTCTTGTACATTTGTAGACCGAAGGAATGTGTACAGTTCACGCAGTGTGTTGTTGGCACCAACAAAGTTTGTCCCATTGTCACTCATTATGATGGAAGGGTACCCACGTCGGGATACAAATCGGCGCAATGTTGCAAGAAATGCTTCTGTACTTAAATCACTTACCACCTCGAGATGAACAGCCTTTGTAACAAGGCAGACGAAGAGTGCTAGGTAGCTCTTGGTGTAAACACGCGTGCGGCCTCGCGGCAAGCGCGTAGTAAACGGCCCAGCATAGTCAACTCCACATTGTCTGAAGGGTTTTGATACGGTGATGCGTGAGGGTGGTAGATCAGCCATCATCTGTTCGCTTTTGAGTGGCCGAAAGCGATAGCAGCGTACACATTGATGGATGATCCGTTTGATTGTACTACGTCCATGTATGATCCAATAACGTCCACGTAGAACAGCCATGGTTACGTTCAGACCAGAGTGTAGGTTGAGGATGTGTTCGCGCCTTACAATCAACAGTGTTAGATGATGCCTCTTGGGTAGGATGATGGGGTGTTTCTGGTCATATGGTAGATCAGACTGACTCAAGCGACCACCAACTCGAAGAAGACCGGCTGAATCTAGAAACGGATTTAGACTTTTTAATGTACTGGTGGATTTCAACACGGTGTTCTGGCGTAGATCATTCAGCTCAGCAGAGAATTCTAGTTCCTGCGCAGATCTGAGCCAATATTGCAATGCCTGCTTCATCTCAGGCACACTGATGAATCCGTGGACCCGGTTCTCAGCGCTCGTTCGGCAGTTTTTCATGAACCGTAAGAGATATGAGGTGATGCGTAATAAATGATCATAGTCGGAGTACCTGGTTATAATATCAGAGGTCACGACAGTTGGTGCGGCAGTAGTAGACACTGAACGTTCCTCTGGCACAGTTGATGTAGTCAGCAGAGGAGTACTGTTGGGCCAACTATCTTGATCAGGCAGCCAGGTCGGTCCGTGCCACCACAGGTCACATTGGATTAGTTGGTCACCTGTCAAGCCTCTTGACGCGACGTCTGCAGGGTTGTCACCAGATCGAACGTGTTTCCAAGTGGCATCTGGTACGAGCTGCTGTATCTGAGTGACGCGATTTGCTACAAATGTGGTCCATCTATACGGTTCGCTGGCGATCCAATGGAGAGCAATGGTGGAGTCACTCCACAAGTACACACGGGTTAATTGAACGTGCAGTGTTGGCACTAGCTCGTGGACAAGTTGAGCGAGTAGGAGAGCACCACACAGTTCGAGTCGAGGAACTGATATTTTTTTTAGTGGAGCCACTCGTGTTTTGGACGCCAACAGAGTAGTAGTGCAGATGTCAGCTGTGGCACTGACATAGACAACGGCGGCATACGCAAGTTCAGAGCTATCACAAAACCCGTGCAAGGTGTACGAGATGACCGGCAGTGATGAGAGGTTGATGTAGCGTGGTATGTCGAATGTGTCCAAGTGGGTGTATGACAGACGGTGTGCATTCCACATGGAGGTCAAGTCTCCCGAAACCTTTTCATCCCACGCAACTTTTTCTTTCCACAACATTTGTAATATGAGTTTTGACACGACCACCAAGGGAGCCAACCACCCACAAGGATCGTAAACACGGGCTACCTCACCTAGGAGTTGTCTTTTGGTTAGCTGTTGTGCTGCCTTGGTCGCGTCTGTCTGAATGGAAAACGTATCCTTTGCCGCATTGTACGACACACCCAAGAGCTTAATGTCCATCTCCAGGTGGTCCTGCAATGGCAGTCGCATGACACAATGTTCGGCTGGAACGCCCTGTAACACGGAAGAACAATTACTAGCCCACTTTCGTAGCGATAGTCCACCTCGATTTAATAGACTTATGAGTTCCTGTTGTAGCTCGACTAACGCGTCTGCAGAATCACGTCCAGTCATGACCTCATCAACATAAAAGTCGTGACGTAGAACGTGTGATGCTGTGGGATGTGAAGCCGCCTCGTCATCAGCTAACTGACGTAGTGTCCGGATGGCTTGATAGGGTGATGTCACGAGGCCATAGGTGATAGTATTGAGTCGATATTGTTGAATCGGATCAGATGGGTCAGCACGCCATAGTATACACTGATACTTCCTGTCGTCAGGGTGCACCAGAATTTGCCTGAACATTTGTTTGATATCGGCGCTGAAGACAAATCGTGAAAATCTAAAGTTTATGAGGACACTCACAATATTGCGTTGTAATTTTTGACCCTTATGTAGATGGTCGTTGAGTGACCGACCGTGGCTCATAACACTCGATCCGTCAAAAACTACCCGTAGTTTTGTTGTGGTGCTTGATGGTCGACATATGTGATGGTGTGGAATGAACACAAGTGGCTGCTGTTCATCCTGAGGTAGTACCTTCTCCATATGATGCGACTGTTCGTAGTCCAGCATAAAGTCACGATACTGTCCTGCGATATTTGGGTTTTTTGACAAAAAACATTCAACCTTCTTTAAGCGCTGAAGTGCAAGCCAGTATGAGTTGTTGGTTACGACTGGGTTTTTGAATGGCAAACGCAGTACGTAACGACCATCTGCGTTTCTGGCATGAGTACCGACATAATGGTCTTCGCATGCCTGTTCATCAGGTGACATAACCGTAAGTCGTGGAACTTCTTCAAGTTCCCAAAAGTTTTTGATTGTTGTTTCCAATGATGTAGATGAATGGCAGGACACAACATAACAAGGAGCACTGCTTGACTGCTTGACACTTAAATGGCAGTTGGGTTGTGAAAAGTGACCACCACACACGATCCAACCAAGGGTGGAGTTTTGTAACATAGGACTGCCGTCGATCGGTCCACGTATCTTACCATCTTGTACAATATCCATAAAGAACTCAGCACCAATGAGTAGATCAATCTTTCCAGGTGTATGGAATTGTGGATCAGCCAGAGCGACGTTTTGTATGTGTGACCATTGATCCACGTTCAACTTGGTGGTAGGTAAATCCACAGTGACACACGGGGCAATGAGTGCATCTAACGTATAGTCAATATCAGTGAGGCGTGATGATATGCGAAATGACGTTACTTCAGTTACCTTAGTCTTGGCATTGGAGATCCCTCCCACTACAATGGTAGAGCTACGTCGTTCTAGACCCAATCGGGCAGCTAACGAGTGGGTAATAAAGTGGGATTGTGAAGCAGAGTCCAACAGGGCACGACACAGCTCACTTAGTCCGTTAGCTCCATGGACACGCACCAATGCAGTGGACAAAAGTACTGATGACAGAGCCAATGAACGTGATGTTCCATGGGCTGCTATTGTTTCAACAGTAGATGATGGTACCGAAGGTGTGTTCACGTCACTATCGTCTACTGTGGATTCAAGTAAATGTAACAATGTATGGTGTTTGGCTTGACACACCTTACACACTTTATCCATAGTACATTGTTTCTTCTGATGACCAGGACGCAGACAGTTCCAACAAAGTGATAACTTTTGAGCTAATGATCGTCGTTCTTCGACACTAGCTTTCATAAACATAGAACATTTGTATATGCTATGTGGCGCTGAACATACTTGACAAGATTGCTTATGATCCTGTTGTCTCACCACAGTAGCATGTGAAACAGTTTTTGATGTTGTCTTTGGCTTACCAGAACCATGCCTAAACTGCATGACCTCAAGAGCATGAACTCGATTCTCTATGAACTCACTCAAATTGTGCCACGTGGGAAAATTAGAATAGCTGGTTGACTCAATTTCCCATGTTTTCCTCATCTCAGGTGGCAGCTTTGTAGACACAAGATGAACGAGTACGTCATCCCAATACATGGTAGGGCGTCCCAATGCGTGTAACGCTCTTACATGTTTATTGGTGCAGTCAATTAGGTTTTTTAATGCAATTGCAGACTCCTGCTGAGCAGCTGGTTGTGAGAACAAATGATGCATGTGTATTTGAAACACCAAATACTTATTGTCATATCTACTTATTACAAACTTCCAAGCTTCTATGTAATTAGTTGCATCCGACGACAGTGATGATATCACTGTAGCAGCTTGTCCTATTAAACTTGTCTTCAAATAGTACATTTTCTCGGTGTTGTTTATGTGTTTGTTCTTATGTACCATCGTTTCAAATTGATCTTTGAATGAATACCATTCTTCAAAACTACCTCCAAATTGTGGTAAGTTGATTGGTGGTAGTCGAATGTTCTGTTGAATGGTTTGTTTGTTTTCATCGACCGTTCTATTAGACAATGATTCCAAAAAATCGGCTTTCAATGTAACATATGTATCAGACACTTCAATTAGCTCATCCATGTGCCCTTGTTGTTTATCATCTTCATCTAGAGCGCTCAACTCCTCATAAGTACTCGTGTATGATGTAAACACTTCTTCAAGCAGAGCTAATTGTGTTTTTATGATGAATTCACTTAATGTTTCGATCAGATCTTTAGTATGTGTACTTCGTTTCTTTTCGATTAACTTCTTCTTGTTGAGGAGCTGTCTTCGTAGTTTATCCATTTTGCACTATGATGTTTCGGCAACGGATACGGACGCGACGAACAATGTAACGCAACGCACTATGACGATTTTACTGAGAATACGAACGCGACGCACAACGTACGCGACGCGTTATATCAATGAACTTATGATACTGTGATCCGAGCCCGTTAGGACCAAAAATGTTGGGCAATTAGGTAAAAAGTAAAAACGCATTATAGTAATGTAGAAAACGTGCTTTTGCTCTTTGCGGCATCAGCGGACTGTATTGAATAATGTATAATGTATAAAAAGTATTA